CCCTCCCAGTTTTGTGTCATCAGCAAACTTGCTGATGGTACACTCTATCCCTTCATCCAGATCATTGATGAATATATTGAACAGGACTGGACCCAGTTCTGACCCCTGTGGGACACCACTCGTTACTGACCTCCAACAGGACTCTGCACCACTAACCACAACCCTCTGAGCTCTATCTGTCAGCCACTGTTCAATCCACTCTTCTTAATCCACCCCACTGTCCATTCATCTAACCCACACTTCCTAAGCTTTCTATATATATCTGTAAACATCTCTTTTCATTGCAGACCAATAGTGTTTTGGTTTTGCTCTCTGTTCAGTTTGCGTGGCAAGGTTTTAGTAGCAGCAAGGCTACAGGGGTGGCTTCTGTGAGGAGATGCCAGAACCTTTCCCTGTGTCTAATAGAGCCAATACCAGCTGGCTCCAAGACGCCGGCCCTGCCGCTGGCGAAGGCTGAGCCAATCAGCAACAGTGGTAGCACTTCTGTGATAACATATTTAAGAAGGGTAAAAAACCTGCACAATTGCAGCCGCAGAGAGGAATGAGAATATGTGAGAGAAACAACTATGCAGACACCAAGGTCAATGAAGAAGGAGGGGGAGGAGGTGCTCCAGGCACCACAGAAGAGATTCCTCTGCAGCCCATGGTGAAGACCATTGCAAGGGCTGCTGTCCTCCTGAAGCCCATGGAGGTTAATGGTGGAGCAGATATCCACCTGCAGCCCGTGGAGGACCCCATGCTGGAGCAGGTGGATGCCCAACGGAGGCTGTGACCCCGTGGGAAGCCCATGCAGGAGCAGGCTCTGGCAGGACCTATGGGCTCATAGAAAGAGGAGCCCATGCTGGAGCAGGTTTGCTGGCAGGACTTGTGACTCTGTGGGGTCCCACGCTTGGAGCAGTCTGTTCCTGAAGGACTGCACCCCATGGAAGGAACCCACGCTGGAGCAGATCGTGAAGAACTGTAGCCCGTGGGAAGGACTCGCATTGGAAATATTCGTGGAGAAGTGTCTCTCGCAGAAACAATATGTTTTGAACTGACCGCAACCCTCATTCCCCATCCCCCTGCACTGCTGGGAGTGAAGTTAAGCCCGGGAAGAAGGGAGGGGTGGGGGGAAGGTGTTTTTAAGATTTTATTTTATTTCTCATTATCCTACTCTGATTTGATTGGTAATAAATTAAACTAATTTCCCCAAGTCGAGTCTGTTTTGCCCTTGATGGTACTTGGTGAGTGATCTCTCCCTGCCCTTATCTTGATCCACGAGCCTTACATTATATTTTCTCTTCTCTGTCCAGCTGAGGAGGGGGAGTGATAGAGCGGCTTTGGTGGGCACCTGGCATCCAGCCAGGGTCAACCGACCACACTCTCCTTCCCATCAACCCAGTATTTGGGTTTTTTCTCATTATTTAAATTTATTATTTTTAAAATAATCTTTTTCTTCTTTAAATATTTAAAAATTTAACAGTTTGAGTTTTTAGTGCCTCAGCATGAATCTCTAGTGATTGAATTGATAAAATTGTTCTATACAATATTTGCTTTATGTACAGATTGTTACTGTTACAGATAAGGTGCACACTTTTCCAGAGAGCTTTACAGCAGGCTTGTTGAGGCCTGGTTTTGATTCTTGTCCTATCACTTTGACTCTTATGCCCTTCAGTGTCCTCTAGATCTTATCCCTTTTTTCCTACCTGACTTTCCTTCTCTTTTTATTTCCTTTTTCACATGTTCTTCATTCTTGGCTTTAGTTAGGCTATCTCTTCCTTCTACACATCAGTACATGTCAGTGAAGGGGTGATTGATGACACACGAAAGAGTTTCCCTATTCTCAGTTCTGCAGCCACTTGTAAGTGGGAGACAACTACAGAAAAAGTTCTGTTTGACTGTTGTTGCCCCGAGTTCAGTAAAGACAGTCTTCTGAGAATTTAGTACCTAAATATAAATCGATCAGCATATCTGTGAAGCTGATAGATCAGCTGTATTATTTTGTATAAATTTTCATGGATACAACTGATTACTTTTGACATACAATGTTTTCCCCATACTTCTTAGCTGAACTTTCTCAGACCTGTTAATTTACTTCTCTCCCCATGCATGAGACTCATCAAACATCTGGATCATGGAAGCGGGGATGTGTCTAGATTACACTTATATGGAATAATGTGATATGTACACGCATAGAAGGCTGTGTGACAAGAAAGTAGTGACCGTGCTAGGATACTATAGAGTGAGTGTGCCTCCTAGCTAGCCCAGCTAGGTAGATACTGCTTACTACACTGTTGTGGCTTCTTCCCAGCTCTGGGATTCTGCAGGCCAGGCATAGTTGGTCAGTGGACCTCTTGTGACACATGGAGTTGTGGACAGCAAACACTAAATGGGTGTGTACTACTAGAGTTTCAAGATGCTAGTGATACAGTCAGGGGGTGTGAAGTGGAACCAAATGTGAGTCTTATGCCTAGTGCATGAGACTTGATAGGTTTGGTTTTGAGAAAGTTTTGGTTGAGGCAGAGATCTGGCATGTAATTTTACTCTAAAGGTTTTAAATTTGACGGTGTCTAAATTAACAAATAGCATCTTTTAGTGGTAAGTGTTAAGAAACCTGAAGGATGGATGGCAGCGTTAGTCTGCCTATAGTACAAAACCACTTCAGTATGTATAAAATATGACTTTGTAGCATGGACCATACTGGCCCTGAATAGCAGTGATGACTTTCATACAGATGTAAGTCATATCACCTTTTCCAAGACATATTGGGAACTGCATGCACATAGTACTGTGGAAGGAAAAACAGCATCTAAGTAGTAAGAGAAGAAAGAACCTTGTTTCTGTAATATTAGTACTACCTACTTCTGTGGATTTCAAATAATTGAAATGATTATCCATTTCAGCTCCAGGGCCTGGAATGGATGGTTTCACTCTATAATAACAATTTGAATGGAATTTTAGCTGATGAAATGGGTCTAGGAAAAACCATACAGACTATTGCGCTCATCACTTATCTGATGGAACACAAAAGACTCAACGGCCCCTATCTGATCATTGTCCCCCTTTCGTAAGTAAACTCATTCTGCTATTATTCTGTGTATTGTAGTTTGGTTTCTTAGCAACATGTACTTTTTTCTCACACAATGACGAGATGAGGCACATCTTGGAATTGCACTGAGCGTGTACTCTGAATTCAGACTGTGATTCTTTCTTCATAACTGATTGTCTAGCTTTGGAAAGGTGACCAGATGGCTTATAAAAGCACTTTGTTTCATTAATTTTGCTGTTCACTTTGCTGACATGATATATAATATGTCCTACTTCACTGTTACTCCTCACATTAGAGGAATGATAATTTTTTAAATATTACATGCCTGTAGTTTTCCCCATTCCAGGAACCTTTTGAAGTTTCTAAAAGAGAGAAGCTGAAATTTGAGTAACTTTAGTTATTTTAAAACTCTTTCTTCCTTCTCTTCACCCCCCATAACATGCACATTAGACCAGGTTGGTGCTGCCTTGGCATGTCCAATGACTTCATAAACAAAAAAGTTATCTTCTGTTCCCATATCATACTGGCAAACACACTTTTACCCATTTTAAAGACTATTTATTGTGATCATAAAGCTGAAACCACAAAGTGCAAAACCGAGTCTGCCTAATGGCAATAGTATATCATTACAGCTGAATACAGATGTATTTTATGGTAGACTTCATATGCTATATCTGAAAAGTTGCAGGCTCAATTTATGAGAGGTGATGAGCTTACAATGACACATAAGTCCTTCTGTGTAGGTATATCTTCCCCTTAATATGTGTCAAAATACAAAGGTATACTTCAAATACTTTGCTGAATTGGTCTGAAAGGGCCCCCTGAATATAAAGGGAAGATACATTTTCCCCACTTTATTTCTATTTCCTCCCTTCTCAAATAAAGATACATATATCCTGATACAATATATTACGTGCTTCTTTTTAAATATACTGTTTATTATAAGGGGTGTAAGAAGTATGTTGAGAATCCAGCATTCAGTGGGAAACAGGTGGCATAATTATGAATTTTAATTTTTTTAAAAGCAAATAATGAAATATATTATTTTTACCTATTAATCTTGTATTTAGAACTTTATCCAACTGGACATACGAATTTGACAAATGGGCTCCTTCTGTGGTGAAAATATCTTACAAGGTTTGATTTATTTTTTTATATGAACTTAAAGCTGAAAGAATAAAGCATGATAGTTAATCATCCCTAGATTACTGTAATTAACTTTAATTGCTTTGGGTTAGCGAAATGCAGAATAAAATTGTTAAATACCATATTGCAGGGATTTGCTGAGAGCAATACAAATAATAAATACTGCACATTTTGTATACAGCTGAATATTTTGTTGTTTGGCTACTGCAGTTCCTATAAAGTCAAGCAATTAGTAAGGAGACTAGACTGCCAGCTACGTGCTTCCATTCCCATATAAACAGAGCTTTACAGTCCAGCAGCTGGTTAGGGAAACCACTCTTGAAGGAGTATGGAATATATTAATATTTGGTATGATTTTGCAGGATTACAAGGTCATATATTGGCTCTTTCTCTGCTCATTCATGAATGTACTGCATAGAAATATAGGTATATCTGTTTTCTTCATCCTTTGTCTCTCTTTTAGGGGACACCTGCCATGCGTCGCTCACTTGTTCCTCAGCTTCGAAGTGGAAAATTTAATGTTCTTTTAACTACTTATGAGTACATAATAAAGGACAAACATATTCTTGCTAAGGTAAGTAATGTCTGTCATCTCTTAACAGCTAACCCTTAAAGACATCATCTTATTTGGTGCCTAGGACAAAACACCTGGTTTTGATTTATAGTTCTGAATTGCTGTTTTGTCTTGCTAAAAATTGACCATTTCATGTACATTTTCATTCCCCTGTTGACAACTAGATCTCTCCTTCCTGAAAACAGCAGGATTTTCCTGGATATAAGTCAGAGAATAATATTATTGCTCTGGAATTTTGTCAGTACTGTAGACTTTCCTGTCTTTAAAAGAGTGTGATTTTTCTTTCCACTGCCTGATAGCATTTATCCTAATCTGTCATCCTGACTCTACTTTTCTAGTTCTGTTTCTGAGCTGAAGCTCGCTGTTATTGCAACCTCTCCAGCTGTGTGGTGTATTTTTCTCAAGTGACCACCTATATAATGAATTTGATATCGAGATGCTTTATTACATAAGACTCAGTTTTAAAAGCTCACAAACTGATCTGTGGATATTGGTGCCTCAGTGTAATGAATTCTTTTGAAAACTGTATCGTAGTGTAAGAGTATTTTATAAAATACACACAGACCCGACCAGGTAGGTACATTTTGCTATACTGTGAAACCTTGTGATCCTATTGTCTTCTTTTTATCCTATTACATATTTAGATGTCTCATTTTTTCTCCCTGGAACATAGACAGTACATGATCTTAGCATAGTTCTGAATGGTTGAAAACAGTTTTACTCTGCACAGTTTTTCTATCCCTCTAGGTTTTGCCCACCATTACTAAAAGATAAGAGCAGGGAACAGAAGTGTGGCACCAACCTTTTCTGTGCAATGGGGCTATGTAGCATCTGATGAAAGCTCTTGAGGACTACAAACTGAGACCTTACTGGTCATGCGACCATTACATCATATTCTTGTTATGTTGCTGTGTACCACATGACTCAAATATTGCACATAACTACAAACAGAGGTATCCTCTGGTTTATGACTGGCATACCCTTAGCATAGGAATTTAGGGATGTGGGGGTGCTGGTCAACAGCAGGCTCAACATGAGTCAGCAGTGTGCCCTGGCAGCCAACAGGGCAAACCGCATCCTGGGGAGCATTAAACACAGAATAACCAGCTGCTCAGAAGAGGTGATTATCCGACTGTATTTAGCATTGGTGCAGCCTCACCTTGAGTACTGCGTGCAGTTCTGGGGCCCACAATTTGAGAAGGGTGTTAAGGTACTTGAATGTGTGCAGAGGAGGGCAACAAAGCTGGTGACAGGGCTGGAAGGAATGTCCTATATGAGGAGCGGCTAAGGACTTTGGGTTTGTCTAGTTTAGAGAAAAGGAGGCTGAGGGGTGACCTCATTGCTCTCTACAGCTTCCTGAGGAGGGGAAGTGGAGAGGGAGGTGCTGAGCTCTTCTCCCTGGTATCCAGTTACAGGACGCATGGGAATGGTTCAATGCTGCGCCAGGGGAGGTTTAGACTGGTTATTAGGAAGCATTTCTTTACCGAGAGGGTGGTCAAACACTGGAACAGGCTTCCTAGAGAGGTGGTTGATGCCCCGGTGCCTGTCAGTGTTTAAGAGGCATTTGAACAATAACATGCTTTAACTTGGTCAGCCCTGAAGTGATCAGGCAGTTGGACTAGATGATCATTGTAGGTCCCTTCCAACTGAACTAGTCTATTCTATTCTATTCTTGGCATGTGACCTGACTTACATGAAGCCTCTGGTCACATGGCCTAAGATTTGGATATATGCTCAACATCTGTTGGGGGTGTGTGTGTGTTATATTTTTGGTTATGTGACACATGCTTGTCTACTGGTTATCTGGCCCACTTCTTTCTGATTACTGAAGGCCTCAGCAAGCATATAAAGCAGCAAGAGGCACCAAAAGTTTCACATCTGTAACAAAGTAGGTTGCGAGGCAGTATTTGCTTTTTAAAAAGCAAAAACGACAACAAAAAAACCCTAAACAGCTAACATGAAGTGTCTGAAAGAACCGAACTATAGAACTGCCTGAATCACTGGTGTGCTGAGCTTCAAGCAGCGTCCCATCAAACTCATCCTATGAGGTATAGGTTAGCTATCCATGTCTTAGCACAGAAAGTAGTAAAAACCATGGCACTTTTCTTTCAACATCTACTCTAACTGCATTAAAGTTTTATTTCAGAAGATGCAGTGACTGAAATGGCCTTAATTATGTTGCTTCATTTTTGGGTTAGAAGAAAAGGATTAACTGAATCAAAGAAAAGTTCAGGGTTACTATGTTTTGAGAGAATACAGTTATTTTGTCTGAAAATGCCTTTGCACCCTGTCTAGCTTCTTCTTTCTGACAGTTTCATTTGGATTTCTCATGTTCTTTTTCTTCCCCAGTAAGACAAATTCTGACCTTACGGTGTCAGGTCTCCTGAACTCCTCCCAAGAAATGAGGGGATTCAGCTGCTTGCTAATGCAGTTATTTACTGTTGACGCGGAAGCACGGACAGATACACCACGACCAATATGATCAGTGTAAATGCCACTTTATTGCACAGATAGCTCAGCTAATATAGACAATTTTCTCCCGCGCCACGCAACACTCAAGCAATAATTGGTTACATGCATAGTTCAAACAAGCATCTCTACTATATGATTGGCTAGCCCCAGCTGTTCACTCACCTAGTTATCTACTTCTATGTTTTAATTAAAATCCTGCTTATCAGTACATTCAGCAACAGTTCTTTCCTCCCTCAACATAACTCAGACGTTCACAAAACACAATTTGATCTTCGACATTCCTTGAAGCTTACACTGTCGTCAACAAGTTCTCAGTGCTTGGGGTGCTCACAGGGTGACCATTGATCTCTAAAAATTCTCCCACAAATCCCCCTTTTTGTTTTTGAGCAACCCAAGCTCCTGCGAACATTCTTCCCACAGACTTTTCCAACATTCTCCTTAAGCATGTTAATAAGCATGGTATAACAGCAAGCAACACTATAACTATAAGCAATATGGTTAAGCCTTGCTTGGCCAAATCGAGCAACCACCCCGACAACCCCCAAGATCGGAAACATACTGTCAGGCATGAGGATTGCCGAGTCAATTTTCGCATATTGTCCCTCAATTTGGTCAGCCGTTCGTGGATTGAGGACGAATGATCAGACAAATTCATACAACACATTCCCTCAAAGTCCTCGCACCCGTGTCCTTGTGCTAAAAGCAAAAAATCAATCGCTGCTCAGTCTTCTAATACAGCATGTCTTATGCTATCTACATCAGTCAAGAGAGAAGTTATTATTTCAGAAGTAAGGTTAAACTGTTTTATGCTCCAGCAAGCCATTTTTTCCAAATCTGTTAAAGCTTTTGCTGCTGCGACTCCAGGGGTTAGTAGCCCTGCAAATATT